TGGTTGAATTACATAAAAGAAATCTGTTGCATGGTGTTAAAAGCTGTAAGCTCGATTTTTGCAAGTATTGTGTTCTTGGTAAACAAACTAAAGTTCGTTTCAAGAATGGGAAGCATACAACTGAAGGGATTCTTGATTATGTGTATGCTGATGTATGGGGGCCTTCCACGACATCGTCTTTGGGTGGATCTAGGTATTATGTTACTTTTATTGATGATTTTTCATGGAAAGTTTGGGTGTATTTTTTAAAACAGAAGTTTGATGTTTTTGAGAAGTTCAAACTGTGGAAAACAGAGGTAGAAAACCAAACATGACGAAAAATCAAGTGTTTTTGGACTGACAATGGTACGGAGTACACAGATTAAGAGTTTCTAAACTTCTGTAAAGAGCATGGGATTAAGAGGCATTTTATAATACGCAAGACAACACAACATAATGGTGTTGCGGAACGGATGAACAGGTCGTTGAATGAAAGAGCCAGATGTTTGCGGTTGAATACGAGGCTTCCCAAACACTTCTAGGCTGAGGTTGTTAACATGGCGTGTTATCTTATCAATATATTGCCAAGGGCATCATTGGCTGGGAAAGTTGCAGAAGAGGTATGGACTGGTCATGATGTTACTTTTGATCACTTACAGATTTTTGGTTGTCCTGCTTATGTGCATGTACCTGCTGATGAGAGATCCAAACTTGATGCAAAATTGAAGGAGTGCATTTTTCTGGGTTACAAGACAGGTGTCAGAGGATTCAAGTTATGGGATCCAGTTGCGAAGAAAATTGTGATCAATAGAGATTTTTTTTATAAACAACCCATGTTACAGAAGAAGAAATACACGACAGTGGTGGATTTCGAGAGTTTCCAATTGATAAAATAGAAACTTCTCAACCGAATTCTGGTGGTTCCGCTACAGATGATTTGCAGGATTATAGTCTCGCCAGAGATAGGGTGATACGGATGAATATAAAGCCTCTGAACAGATTGGGTTTTGAAGACTTGGTCTCTTTTGCACTTACTGTTAGCAGTGATGATCTGGTTACCTTTCATGATGTTGTTACTAGTCAGGAAAATGACAAGTGGATGGTTTCCATGGTTGAGGAGATGGAGTCTTTGAATCACAATCACACATGGGAGTTAGTTCGCCTTCCTGAGGGTAAGAAGCCTATTGGTTGCAAATGGGTGTATAAGAAGAAACCAATAGTAACAGAAAAAGAGGGAGAGAATTTCAAGGCTCATTTGGTAGCAAAGGGTTTTTCACAGCAGAACTTACATTGGTGGCTAGTTGAGATTTGCATTTAGACCAGATCGATGTTAAAACTGCTTTTTTGCATGGTGATTTAGAGGAGCATATATACATGCAGCAGCCTGAAGGTTTCACTCAACCTGGAAACGAGCTTTTAGTTTACAGATTGAAGAAATCTTTGTACGGGTTGAAACAGTCTCCGAGACAATGGTACAAACAGTTTGACTCCTATATTATCAAGATCGGCTACAAGCAATGTGAGTATGATTGTTGTGCCTATGTTAAGAGCCTTGATGATGGTTCTTTTATTTTTTTGTTATTGTATGTTGATGATATGTTAATTGATGCGAAGAACATGGATGTTGTTATCGGGTTGAAAACTTTATTGAGTCAGGAATTTGATATGAAAGATTTAGGTGCTGCAAAGAAAATTCTTGGAATGGAAATTTGTAGGGACAGAGACTCAAAGAAACTATGGTTATCTCAACGGGGTTATGTTGAGAAAATGCCAGAAAGGTTTGCGATGAGCAGCGCAAAACCAGTGAACACTCCATTGTCGAATCACTTTAACCTCTCATCAGAACAGTGCCCTAAGACAGATAAGGAAACTGAAGATATGACAAAGGTTCCATATTCTAATGATGTTGGTTGCTTGATGTTTGCAATGGTATGTACTCATTCTGATTTAGCTCATGTTGTTAGTCAAGTTTGTAAGTACATGTCTAAACCTGGTAAGTAACATTGGGAAGCAGTCAAATGGATCTTTAGGTACTTAAAGGGTACTATGGGACATGGAATTATTTTTGGTAGTCAGCGGGATAATCCTTTGGTTGTAGGATATGTGGATTCAAACTATGCGGGTGACTTAGATAATAGAATATCTATAACAGGGTATGTCTTTACTCTTGGTGGAGGGCCTATTTGTTGGAAGTCTATTGTTCAATTTGTTGTGGCATTATCTACAACTGAAGTTGAATACATGGCAGCGACTGAAGCTGCAAAAGAATCTTTATGGCTTACTGGTTTAGTGAAGGAGTTGGGTGTTCAGCAAGGTGGAGTTCAGTTGCTTTGTGACAATCAAAATACTATTCACTTGGCTAAGAAACAGGTATATTGTGCTAGAACTAAGCATATTGATGTAATACTTCACAAGATCAGAGAGTTTGTTGCATCTGGAGAGATTTTGTTTCAGAAGGTACATACTGATGAGAATGCCGCTGATATGTTCACCAAGCCAGTTACGACAGACAAGTTCATACATTGCTTGAACTTGTTGAATGTTTCGAGTTGTTAAAGAAGTAAGGTAACCCAACCCACATTGAATGTTTCCTAAGGGGCAGGATATTCGCCAAGGTGGAGATTTGTTAGGTATGGCTCATAAATATACCGGTAAAGAAGTCTCGTAGTGGGAGTTACGATTATATGGGTTGGGGGTGTGGGGGTGCAGCCCTCGTAGTACGGTAAAGTGTTATTTTTGTAAATATGTACCAGGGTTTATTTATTATAAAGGAGATATAACAAAAACCTATGAGACATTGAATAAAAATTCTAACGCCGCCCAGGGCACCGAGGAAGTAAGCACATTGTTGAACCTCGTTAAAATTATTATGTTGTTACCATTTTCTTTACCCGATTATTCAACACTCGACTTTGGGGTAGCTAGTCCCAGCAATACAATCTTCTTCCATTTGACTCTGTTGGCAGCACTAGGAACAAGAAGCTTACATATGGATTTGATCAAAAACGATTCATCGTTGGATCCACCCTATTTGATCCAGTATCAATCAATACTTTAAGCTTGGAATCCCTCTAGGTCTCCCAAAATTTATTCAATTGATCAATTTTCCATTGGAATGGATTGCCTCAAGGGAATTTTCCATACCCAACCATTTGAAACTTTGTATCCAAACTCAGCGATCATCCCGTTTTATTGGTGGCTAAAACAAAAATGCAAGGATATTTCAATTTCAAAGGAACCTCACTGATACAAATACCAGTCTAACATCGTATCGACTTATCATCACCTACTTGAAGAATCATGTTTTTCGGGAGATTTTTTCAACAAGGTCATATGTGTAGAAAGAGATGATGATGTCTCTCCAATATAAAAAATGCAAGGATATTTCAATTTCAAAGGAACCTCACTGATACAAATATCAGTCTAAAAAAATTGTGTTTCTTAATTAGCACTCGTCTCCAAACTTTGTCCTTTTCAAGATTAAATCTTCATATCCATTTGTCTAAGAGTGATATGTTCATAGTCTCAAAATCTATGATACTGAGGCCATCAGCATTAATTTGTATACATAAGGTTGGTCATTTTACCTAGTGGATTTTCTTTCCTTCCAAGGATTCTCCCCATAAGAAATTAGATACAAAGCTAAATAAGCGCTTACCCACCGTAATTAGCATCCAAAAAAGATACATAAAATAAGAGAAGAGACAAGACAACACAGATTTAACCAAGATGATCCTTCCCCCAATTGAGAATAGATTTGATTTTAACCCTGCTAATCTCTATGTTACTTTATTGACTACAGGGTCCGAAATCGCAATCATGTTACGTTTTGCTTCAAGAGGGAATCCCAAGTAGTCAGAGGAAAAAGACCCCACAGAACATCAACTACGAGATGCCCACTTTTTAATGGATTCCTTATAAACATTAATCCCAAAGATCCTAATTTTTTATATTGATTTTAAGGCCAACAGTAAATTTGTAGACTCGTAACTTAAGTGAAACCAAAATAAAAATAATGATTAATAATTAAAATTCTTCTCTTTTTAACATTATTTTAATAACTATTTTTTAATTAGTCTGGGTGATTATAATAGATAGTATCTATTTGAAAGACTCTCAACCGTTTGACAATAAACATTCTTAACTACTAAAGCTACTTGGTTTGTGTTACCTCTAAACATCACAAATTACATACTTTATATAAAAAGCATGTTCTTATTATTTTCATATTGCTTTAATTAAAATAAATGCAAAAAATTTGCTTGGATGAGGCGTCGGAAAAATATTTTCTTTTATAAAGGGTGGTGTTATAATGTTTAAGAAGAAGTCTGGATATTTTATGTAATCTCATATTCTATTAATTAAATAATAAAATCTTACATTCCAACCAAGTACATTAAATAATATTCGACCATTGATTAGATTATTGGGAAAATGCATAAATATTTCCTTTAAAGTTTACATTTTATACTTATATTTGAATCTAGAATTATTCAACACACTATAGTTGAAAATGGTAATACTATACTGAGAGAGATTAATCAACCCATAAGATTTGGGCAAATCAAAATACATGATTTTATTACTTCATTTCCCTCTAATGTTGAAAGAGAATGAAAGAATTTAATCAAACATCTAAGAATAAAATATTTTTCCTTTGCATTCCATCTTTCTTCAGTCAACCTTCCTAGCAGCTTTCACCTGCTTCAAAACAAAATTAGACATATACGTTGTATTAATAAATCATGATTATCTGAAATATAATCTCATAATAAATAAATAACTACTTTATTGTATAGGAAAATATAAAATTACATATATTTCAAATATTATAAGATACTTTGAGTATATAAACATTGTATTAAAATATACATCAGATTATATTCATGTTTTAGATGATAGAACAGTTTGGTAGGAAATAATAATACCCTGAATCCCTTAGCACACCAGTTTGGCAGTGGGGTCCATATGATAAAGGTTTCTTTTTTTTTTTAATATGACAATGATTTACTTCCATGTTATCATGTTAGTCACCATCATGAAGGATCAAATGGATGTTACCTGAATTAGGAATAATTGGTGATGGGTGGAAGACTGATGGAAATCCCGATGCGGGTGATTGATGGTAGTGATAATAAGGGTACATCGGCATCAATGTGCTGGCACCTAAAATAGGCCGCCCTGCTGCTGGACGTGCTTGACCGAAATGTCCATTCATGTATGCAGGAGAGTAGCTGAAACAGAGTTGGAAAAAGAAAAATGCAAGTTACGGAAAAATCCAACTCTCTTACCATGCAACTTCAATAACCTCAACGTATCAATTATCAAACCCGTAGAGAGGAATGGCCTGATGAAACGCCGGAGCTGATGTTCCGGCTGGATAATACAATTGCACATGATTAGCTGCTGCAACTGACGTGGCTCTCCGTCCAACCTTGGATCCTTCATGATCGAACTCCACAAGATTAGACCTTTATGATGCTCATATTCGCATAAATGCCATCCCTATACTTTTTCCAAACACAATATAACTGAAATTATGACAAAAGAGTACCTTGTTGCGGTGGAGGAGCGGAGGAGGCAGACCTCGGGCGATGAGCACCGAGGGAGGCGATGTTACAGTTGGCACGGCGGCCGTTAATGATGGGAGTGGGGTCCTCGCAGGCTTTGTTTGCAGCTTCAGCATCCTTAAATGTAACCTTTTTAAATGGAGAGAAAAATTAAAAGAGACAGAAAGAATGGTAGAGATGAACTGTATCGATTGAAAAAGAAAAAGTAGCTTACGAATCCATAACCTTTGGATCGGCCGGTGAGTTTATCGGAAATAATGACAGCTTCGAGGATCTCACCGTATTTCTGGAAATGCTGTCTCATGGCTTCTTGAGGAGTTTCCCAAGCTAAACCTCCCACGAATACTTTGGTTAGTGTCGTATCTCCAAACTGCCCCACATTATTACTCATACCCATGCCCAGAAAACAAAAATCAGCAGCAAAATCTGAGGTTTTTGGTAGAGAAAAAAAAATAAAAGAACCCACTGAATCAATAGGCAGGGAAGGGCACGATATAAAGAGAAATCCCATAGCCAGCTCAATACCCATGATTCTATTTATTTAAAAATAAAAATATTTTCTTAATTAAAACTAAATATTCATAATTAAATTTATGAAAATTTTTGTTAAATTTTATTTTATTGTTTATATTCAGAATTAATATATTTCTCTTTTAATATAGAATTAATATATTTCTTAAAATGAACATTAATGCTAAATAGGTTATATTAACTCATGAAAGATTTGAAAGAAGAAATGAAGCGAAACACAAGGAGACAGTGAAGCAAAAGCAAGAAACAGGTAGACTTTTGTCGCATTTATTACATTATCAACGTGATCACACGCATTTATGCACTAACTTCTTTACTTATTATATCCAAACTTTCCTTCTTTCTATTATTTTTCTTTTTTTCTCTTTCATATTTGTCGAGATTAAAATTGGAGACGCTAACAGTAGATTTTAAAAAAATTAGAGTGAACATATACATTAATAATATAAATTTTTGTACAAAATAAATATAAATAAAATTTAAAATTAACATTATTAATAAATTAAATAATTAATCAAAGAAAAGTTAAAGACGTATTCATCCTAAATTAAGAATAGATCTATGAATAGTGGGTTATTCGTAATTAAACTCATGATCGTGGATTACATTATTTATATTTCCCACAAGAATATTAGTAAAAAAAAATTGTGCATTACTTTTCTTTACACTTTTTTTAAAAATTAAAAAGAGACATCAATGCAGAAAATCACGTGGGGACCCACTCCATTCCAACATGGCAAAATTTCCTACGAATTTATGTCTTAGCTGTCATTTGTCGAAGTCCTCAATTTGCAGTTATAAATGTAAGAAACAAATCACTTATGTCCTGATGATCAAAAGAGAAGAAGATATGTGCCCTAAAACCGACAACTCTGTATTTCAAGTTGATCCCAAGTATGGAAGAATATATAATTTTATATTAGAAATTTTTTTTAAAAAAATTGTATGAATAGAAGAATTTATAAAATTTTAAAAATTACAAAAATAATTTTTAATAAAAATATCTTAAATATACTATAATTTTAAATTTTCATGGACCAATTACCTTACCCACCCCTTGATCCATCTCATGCTGGATCTCAAGCTCAGCAGAATATTTTTTTTAAGATTTAAGATAAATATTCAATAATTAATTGATTTGATAGTTATGTTTTGGATACCTACACTCCAATCTTCAAATACGATCAGGTACGGACGCATGATTTTATGTTAGGTGACGAATTTAAAATTAAGAAGGGCGAACTAAAATTCCAAGGGGACAAAAACATATTTTCAATAGAAAATACATCGAAAAAATCTAAAGTATATGATAATTTTAAATTTTTAGGGGACGAATGTCCCTACCCGTTCCCTCGGTTCATCCCTGAATACGACCATCAAATTAGATTGAAAACTTGATTATGACTTACCTATACTCTTAAACATTTTCAATCATTTGAATTTTTCAAAATTCACCTCAAAGACCTTCAATAGATTGGAATATAAAGAAGATAACAAAAACAAAGGAATCGTAAGAAAGTTAATGTATGATTTTATATACAATTTGACCCTTAAATTATAATGTATCTCAATTTAACCCTCTACGTGTCATTGATTAAATGGATAGAAAGCTCACACTTCTTGTAACGCTTTCAACAAAAAAAAAGCTAAAAACAGTGATGAAATAAAATTTCAATGATCGCTTTTAATAAAAAAAAAGGAAATTGTAAGGGCTAAAACAGAAATTCATGTATAGTTAAGGTGTGAGCACGTTGCATGAGGATTGTGGTAGCCATTTAATTATTTTATTCTCATCTCTTTGTAATAATAAAAAAGGTAATTTAAAAATAATAAAAATGAAATGAAAGCGGTGATTTAAAAGCTAAATTGGTGTTGAATCATGATAATTTTGTAAGATAATATTTATTTATTTATTTAAATTGATCTACGAGCCCATGTGATAAAAATTATTTCAGAAAAACAAAAGAACGGAAAATCAAGGCATGACTTAAGGAAGCCTAAATTATCGGCATATTTGGCTGAAATAATTTGTTTTCAATGCTTATACGTCATAAAAACAATTCCAAACGTTTAAAATTATTTAAGATTTCAGTGGTCGATTTATTTTATTTGAAAATATGATATTTATAACTTAAAATAACTTTTTAGAATTTATACAATAACTCCAAAAAATAGTTATAAAATAAAATAACTTTTTTTAGAATTGTTATATATTTTTGAAAAATTTAAATCTAATTCTAATCATAATCATACTTAGAATCAATTTGGAAGACGTTAAAAAAGTGACTTTTAAAAGTACAATAAAAAAGAAATTTTAAAAGTGTTGTTTAGAAGTACAGTTTAAAATTTAATTTTTTGAAATTGTTGTTAAAAAGTGAATTTGAAAAGATAAAAATGTTCATTATAGACATTATTTCATAAATTAAAAATATAAAATTTAAATTATATTTACATTTATTAATACTATAATATATAAAATATATCACTTAAACTATAATAAAAAATATAAAAAATATTTCAAGATAAATCATTATTTATTATAAAAACATATTTTATAATAACTCACTATTAATATTGTAATACGTAAATCGTGATTTTTATTTATTTCTAAATAATTCAAATAAATTATTAAGTAATAATTATTTTTTAAGGATTTTAATATTAAATTATTAAATTATTAAAATAAAATGTAATACATAATTGAGTTGAGCCCATGCATTAATAAGGGTAAAGTTATAATTTGCTCCCAAATGTAAAGTTGAAAATGAAAAAGCTACAAATCCTAGCTTTTGCGGTTGATTTGAAACTACCGTTTTCATCGTAATTTTTTTCATTAATTTTTAACTGTTTGACATTAATTTTGTGGTCAAAACAAGCTTTTTAACTAAAAGTGAATCTAAAAAGCTACTCCAAACGGAGCCTTAGAGCAGAAGGGAAGTGAAACTGTAAGGGAAGGAATGCGAATATTCCTAGTAAGTCTAGAACTCATAACCTAAGAGAATATGAAAAAACAAATATGAGCAGCTTGACTAACCGATCAAATATGTTCACTAAGAATTGTTACATTTTACCAACAATTAGTTGGTCCAATGGGATGATGCATTAGATTCTTTAAGCAATATCAGGGGTTCGAACTTTGGAGTTTGCAAATGAAGTAAATTGGGTTGGGAGATCGTCCTCGCTTCTGTAGTACCTGATCTGTATTAATCAGTCAATAGATCAGATACAAGTGTTTAACTAAAAAAATTGTTACATTTTTAGACCCTTGTAGTTTATAGCGTTCAAACTTGAAATCTCTAAGATAACAACCATCTCTTTAACCAAGCGTTCTAAATTATTTTAACTATATACTTAATTGATTTTTTAATTATTTTATGAGGGCATTTTGAAGTTTAGGTTAAATTTATTTATTTTATGAGGATCTTTTGACATTCAAATCAACTTTAATTATGAATGAATTTATTTAGTGACCTCATTGGTAGAATGGAATATTGTTCTTCTTATAAAATATGTATGTGTTGTCAATAGGCTTTTTATTGAAATATCACCTTCAAACCCATTAATTACCTGTCAGACACCCTCTCTCCTAATATTACCAATCAAGAACTCTTTCTGACAAAGCAACAATAAAGTGCGGATCACCATCCGCGCCGCGCTTTCACGGGGTTCTATCTGAGTTGGCACCACGTAAAGGAATGCGCGGATCGTCATCCACATCTTCGGTAAACCTCTGATATATACAGAAGGCACGAATTATGACGTGCGCCTTCCATGAGAAATGTTGACATGGCACCATGTGAGAAGGCATGTTTCAAAGGGCATGCCTTTCAAGGTTCACATAATCCCTCAAAGAATTTTAAAAAAATATGCTTAAAAAATAAAACTATAGGAAATAACATCGTAATTTAATACATATTAGTTCCATGAGTTGAAGAGCTTAATGGGGTTAGCTTATATAGGAATATTATAGTGTTTAAGTTATGTTTCTTGACAATGTGAGATAAAAATTAAAAGGTGTATTCCTTAACTTTTATATATCTATATATAATGAATCTACTTATACACTATTGTTAACTCCTTCGGGATCTCCCCTTTAAAATTGTTAAAGCTCAGATACCTAATCAATTTTTTTTGGTTTGTAGAAAGCAACAATCTTGATTATCATAATGTGAAAAAATACTTCCAGATACTTCTTACAGATGTGTTAGACTCTTAAGCTCGCCAATTTTAGAAGGAAGAACATCTTGTAGTTTATTCCATCTCAAATTACTACAACAAAAACATATAATTAAATAAATTACATGAAAATCGCCCATTATCTCATAATTTAGATTTAAAACAAAAAGAACATACAATATTTTAAGGCGTTTGAGTCACCCGAATATAATTGATCTTATATTTGATCTTACATGAATATATCGTTTCCCCTTTAATATATATCAACTTCAAAATTTAATTTAGTATAAACCTTAATAATAAATATCAACATAATGTAATTATTTAAATATATTAACATATAAAAATATCAAATCATAATTAATATAAACCTTAATAATAAATATTAACCTATTGTAATTTAACAATAGTATATAAGTAGATTCATTAGATATAAAGATAAAAAAAAGTTAAGGAATACACCTTTTAACTTTTATCCCACGTTGTCAAGAAACATAACCTAAACACTCCAATATACCTATATAAACTAACCACATTAAACTCTTCGACTCATGAAACAAATATGTATTAAATTACAATATTAGTCATTATAGTTTTATTTTTTTAATTTTTAAAGCATGTTTTATTAAAATGCTTTGAGGGATGATGTTTTATCATGTGGCGCTATGTCAACATTTTTCATGGCATGTGCGCTTCATGATCCATGCATTTTGTATATGTCAAAGGTTCAGCGAAGGTGTGGATATGTGGCGTCAACTCGGACAGAACCTCGCAAAAGTGCGGATGGTAATCTGCGTTTTGTTAGAAATAGTGCTAGATTGATAATATTAGGGGAGAGGATGCCCGACAGGTAATTAATGGGTTTGAGGGTGCTATTTCAGTAAAAATGTCTTGTCAATAAGATAATAATTTTTTTAAAATAAATTTTACCCTATAATTACTCTATATATTTTATAAAAAAAAATTATAACCGATCACTCCTGCAGTTAGATTTTAAATTTCTAAAAGAGAAACCAGCCTCAAGATCCAAAACCAAATCCAATTTAAATCATATAAAAAACTTTTTCAGTTGGTTTATCTCTAACTAATAGTTTGATTTCTTACTATTGTTGGGTAGGGTTGATAACATGTTAAAGCACACCTAACTAGCTAAATAAAAATCAAATCCACAAAGCAATAACTCAAATTTCCGTCACATAATGCTTGGGGCACCCAGTGCTCAAGCATGAAGGCGATAGCTGGTGCCCAGTGGCAATGCTGCTCGAGAACATTGACCCAGCACTGCTACAGGCTTGTTCTTTCACAAACTAGATAACATATCAAGCAATGAACAAGTATCTGATACAGGCATGTTTCCAACACGTGTATATGTATTTTCCTTTCCACAGGTTTTCTATATATTTCTTATAAGACCATATCCTCGTATTCGTGTCAGGAAATGTGTTGGATATGAATGTCGCATTCGAATTATACTTAAAAAAAATAAGATTTGGAGCAACATAGCTACAGAGGGATCCTATATTAATCAGCTAAGTCGAAAATAGGGTTTACTAAAGAATCTGCATAATAATCTGCCATTTCAAATAATCATTTCATTTCAAAGCTACTAAGATTTATGGTGTTTATAAGATAGTCTAGGCGACTCTTCAGTTTTCTGGAAGCACTATATCCAGAACTCGTGTCTGAATACCACATTTGAAACATGACACCCCCACAATCTCAAAATCATCAAACAAAGTTAAGCAAGATTAAGATATAAAAAAATTCAATAACTGAACAATGAACATATATACTCGCTAGTGATGAAGCTGATGAACTCAGGAACACATTCTTGAACGGTATCCTTAGCAATTCTCCCATTAGAAGGCAAAGCCTTCTTCATGATTCTACGTATATTTGCAACCGGGCGGTAACGATCTTGTTCCCTCACATTTGTCTGAGGACTGCTTTGGTCTCCTCCACTCTCGTGACGATGGAGAAGAAAGGAACCATTAAAAGCAAATGAAGATTTGAGTGATTTTCGGGGGGGGGGGGGGGGAACGTTAGACTTAAAATATTAGTGATTTTTTTTTTGGTTCTGCTGAGGACCTGAAACTATGCCGTTTTGATACTCCTAAATTAGAGGTGAAGGAAGAATCACCACGACAAGGATTTTCAGAGATGAAAGGAAAAATCGGAGATTAGAGATGATATTTCACGCACCAACAATTTCTAGGGTTTCTCTTTTCAGAAACAAAGCTCCGTTTTCGTCTCAAGCCTCTGCTAAGGTTCGATCAAATCTTAAAACTGGGTCAATTAAATGCTTTTCTTTTATTTAGAAAATCATAAATTTTCTTTCAAATTCTCATTTGGTTCCCTATAAAATGTAAGGAAATCGAGCTTATTATTCTTTCTCAGGCGTAACTTTGGAATAGCATTTGATATCGACGGCGTTATTCTTCGTGGCCGTGTTCCTATTGGAGTTTCTCCACAAGCTTTGAGAAGATTGTACGCAGATTCTGGTACTATTTTCTACTGATATACTTTTCAATATCATGAACTTTGTGTGGTTGCATTGAAATGCAAAGAACATTATGAAAAGAAATATCGTTAACCAACTTTTTTTTTTGGGGGGAGGGAATACTTATACAGGTGAATTGAGTGTTCCATATTTGTTCTTGACTAATGGTGAGTCACTCTGGAGTAAGCATACTATCATAACCATTTTTTAACACAATTAAGTTTAAAAATAATTATGAATTTTATTTAAAAAATTGGGATTTTGAAATAATTTGAATTGGAGTCGCCATCGTCCTTTGGGTTAGGTAGGTCGAATACCTAAAAACGTCTTTTAAAACAATTTTAAGAAAAATCGTTTTTTAAGACAAAAATTGCTTTGCGTTATCAAAGATTCATTTTTAACGGGTTCGGGAGTCGATAACGTGTGGAGAAGGATTAACACCCCACAACGCCCAAAATTGATACTCAATCGCTTACTCATTGTCTTAATGGTGGAATTTATGAGTCGAATATAAAGTAAAAAATTATTCATTTATTAAAGTTTAATTAATTTTCTCCGAATTGATTAATCAGATAAAATTCTTTAACTTGAAAAGAAATCTCAAGATTAACAATCCTCCATCGGGAAAACTATCTCGCCTATTTCTTATATGTACATAATATTTCCTCCTCGATAGAAATGTGTATTGAATATAAACTGAAAATCGACATTTGCATAAAATAACATAAATGTGCCATTTAAAGAAAAATGCATTGCATTATTTGAATAAAAAAATTAATTATTAAAATAAACTAGATTTATTTCAAGTTTCCATTTCGTTTGAATGTTGTATTGAATTGCACCTCCTCTATAAGGTGACACTTTTCACACCCATTCTACGACAAACGTTCTTGAAAATGGTTACGAGTAACACATCAAAGGAGTCTAATAAAATATAAACATGAAATGGGATATATTTATATAATATACATATAGAACAAATATTTATTACAAATGGGATTAACGAACTTTATTTAATACATACATAATATACGAAATACGTATATACATAAAGGACTAAAGCAAAACAATAAATCATTACACGTCAAAATATAAATAACCAAATAAACATATTTGACAATTTAAGGGATCAAAATGGTAGTAACTGAAACTTGAAGGATCGAAATAAAATTACAAATAAACCAAAGTCACAACCACATACATTAAACAAATAAGCTACTGGAAATGAAAATAATCCATAAACAACATTAAGGACTAAAATAAATTAAATCAGAAACATGGGGAGATAATTAAAAAAATTACATAAATGCATTTATACAAAATAGTGACCAAAATGAAATATTCATAAATGTCATGGCCAGATTTGAACATAAAAGGAAATAATTAACATATTGGGTCAGTGACCAAAATGTAAACATAAGAAATTAAAGGCCCAAAGTAGAATAACATAATTTCATTTGGCGACCAAATCATGAGATTACAAATGAGCAAAGACCTAAACAACTATTAACCCAAGCACGAAAACACGTTGAACACCCCCCAGAACGACGACGTTTCATGCTTAGTATATATGCTTTTCACCTAAGCTTAAACCGGCCACCCATCCCATTTCTCTCATTTCCCCCTCTCTCCTTAAAACAAAGAGCAAAAATGCTCTCAAACTTTTCTCCCTCTCCGCCTCTTTCTCTGCCGTGGAGAATGAAAAACAGCCATGACCACCGCAATCGGTGACAATGGCGTAGGAAACCTTACCCGAGAACAAACCCTTGACTTTTCCCTCTCTCTCCTCTTCGAAAACCTACCCTTTATTACCTAGAAAACCTACCCTTTATTACCTAGAAAACTAGAGACCCTCTCTCACTCAAAATCCTAGATCTTAGAAAAGGGAAGGTTTTACCTTTAATGATGGGCTCTTCAGACTCCGGTGATGCCACATCCACCAGACCTAAGGTAAGTTTCTTTAGATTTTTTCTTTTCCTGCTTTCTCTATTTTTCTTTGGTTCTCATATATTTTTTCTCTCTTCTTTTTTTTTCGATTCTCTCTACCTCCGAATCTCTGCTCTGGTTTTCTCTTTCGTTGCATGTTGATTTAAGGTGAGATGATGAGGCCAAAAAATAGGGGAATGATTTCCCTATATTTCTAGGATAAGATTTGAGATATATTTTCAGATTTTCTGACTTGGTGATGGATTTATGACTTGATTTGGTTGATTGATTGTTTATATCACTGTTTGGTACGACTCGATGATGGCGGCATCTCGAGAAGCAATCGACGACGGCTCATGCGGCTGGGAAGGTAACCGTTGAGGTGTACGTGCCAACTTGGAGACGAAAGGTCAGGAGCGTGTCCCTCACGCGCGGCAGATTGGACGGTTCAGCTTCTGTCCTGGGTCGGCGGCGGCTCGAACTGAAAATAGGAAACTCGAATGTGTTTAAGGTTACTGATTGGGCTTGTTCGGGTCGAATTCGATCAGGTTTGGGTCAGCTGGGCCTGATGCTAGGTTTGGGGCTTGTATTGGGCTACGGGTATATTTGTAATTGGGCCTAACATGGGATTGAACAAGGTATGTTGGGTTGGCCTACAAAAATGTAATAATATATTAAAATGATAATAATAATAATAATAATAATAATAATAATAATAATAAAAGACTCGGAAAAAAAGGATCTCTACAGTTGCCCCTATTTTCCCATTCTTATGTATG